GAGAGAGAGAGAGAGAGAGAGAGAGAGAGAGAGAGAGAGACTATCTTTCTCTCTCTCTGTGTGTGTCGTTCCTTCGCATCGTCGACAACGTTGGACGTTGGACGTTGCTTTGGTCGACTCTAAAGAGCTTATCTCAAAGCCTGGCTCAAGTTACCTCGCTGTATATATCAGTGCATACTTAATGCCACACTTTGTAAAATCCCGAAGTGTGTCACGGAATCTGCTTGATGATGCAGGATTAATCTACTCACCCGGTAGCCCTTCTCTCCGGTAGCTCCGGGTTCTCCGCCCGCTCCCTTCTCACCCTTGGGGCCGGGCGGTCCGTCGGGTCCGATGTCGCCTGGAAGACCCTCCGTTCCTTGAGGCCCAGATATCCCAGTGTATCCCGGCTGCCCTTTGATGCCGGTACAATTGCATTTGTACGAGGAGTCCCGGCAGATCTGAAACAGCCGCGCGTCGCGGCACGCTCTCGTTAGCGGAAACTCTCCCAAGCGATTTGACATGTGGACCGCTTTCTCGCCGGCGTCATTTCGACCAAAGTTTTCGTCGGAATCCCTTGGATAAGCGGTTTAGCGCGCGAGCCGCGATCGAACGGAGCGCCGGGATTTACGACATTTTTTTCATTTACTTTCGAAAACATAACGAGAAATGTGCGGGAGAGACGCGGACGTTCCGTGGCGTTTCGATATTTCTCTTTTCATCCACGAAAACGCCCCGCTTCATTAACGACAAACGCTCCGCGCGACAATCGCGCGCGCGCGCGCTGCGCACTAACAGAAAACGAATATTACGTAACGCGATAAATTGCATTTATCTAGAATGGAAATAAAGTATCTACAACGACGGATCTTGTCGGGGCAAGCGATAAAAATTGATTAAAACACGGTTTTGTTATATCGTTAAAAAATCGGAATCGAGGACAGGGACTGCTGAAGAGGAAGAACGCATTGATTGCGGCCAGTGGCGTAAGCGAAACTTGCGGCCACGGAGGTGCGAAGTGCGACTTGGCGAGTGCCAAGTGCACACTCGTCGTGCCACCGCATTCTTTTCGTCGTTTTTGTAGCGTGAAGATAATTTGTCGTAATTTTACGAATGCGTTTTCACCCGCACAGGAATCGACGGGTCTTTGATCTTTCAGAGATTCTTTCAGATTCTCTTTTTCAAATTTCTTCAGACACTGCGGGGCTAGTAATGAACAAAGTGATCCTGCTGTCAACACAGATGGAAAAATGCATATCGTGAGCTGTTAATTCATACACGAGCTTTTCCACAGGAAATCAAATTGCCGACGAATAGACGTCAGCGCGACTCGACACTGCGAAGTAATTGCATCTGGCGATATTCCCCCGTAATTGGGAGAACTCGCGTGCTTGACAGATGAGGTACAATCGATTTCCGTGGGCTTACTGGTGTTTTTCGCGCGAAGTTTGTACATCTATTCGCAAAATCGTCGGTTTTACGCGCTGATAAATTTCCAAAATTTATGACCGATACTGCGATAATCCCGTCACTACGCCAGTGTAATACGAAGGCCGGCCGTGCGCGCTCTATTTGAATAACGTGGAAGAGAACGAAAACGGAATCGTGCTTCCACACATTTGCCTTGTAGATGAAAGTTCTGCCTGTGTCAACGACGCGCTCCAGGACCGACCAGGCTTTCAAGGAACCTCCGTGACACCGTGTACCCGTTCCCTTGCTATTTTCTCTCCCCTGCTTATCCACGAATCTCCTCTGCACGTGCCTCATTTTTGCTCTGTGCTTTACGACGCCTTAACGTTCGCCGCAGGATACAAAGCGCGTACGAGGCGCAGGATTTTTTAGATGACCCGACGAATACGCCGGTTGACGAGTTAGGGACAAATTTGAGTACACGGACATTAAATCTGGTATTAAATCAAAATAAGACATTCTTCGAGAGAGACCGGTGAAATTTATGCGACCTGAAATGTCGCTTACCTACGGTCCTATCGGACCGTCTGAGAAATTCGACGGAAGTTCACGCGACATGAGAGCGATGCGAACTTTTTAAGCTCCAAGCTCGGTCTCGGTCTCGTCCCAAGGCTATTGTTACTTATGCAATGATATAACCGCGGCTGCATAATCCCAATGTCATCATTATGTTACCGCGAAGGACGGCATCATTCTACTTAAATAACATGAACGAGAAGATCTGGGAACGAGGTTCCACATTGCGGTGGAGCGAGAGGTGGGCAGTGATGCAAATACTTTTTCATTTCCTATTGTCTTGGTAACATTCGGTATTCCTAAAAGAGAATATGCCTTTCCATCTGTCCCGACGAACTTGTTCCGCTAAATTAAACCGAATATCATGGAACGAAAGAGGGGGGGGGGAGGGAAAGGGAGAGGAGAGAGAGAGAGAGAGAGAGAGAGAGAGAGAAATTAAATGTGACGACTGTGTCCGATTATACGTGCGCTTTATTTATAAAACACTTAATATTCGCAAAAATCCAATACATATGAACGATTGAATTTCTGCGAAAGCTCTGAGACTAAGCAGGCGACTAATTATATTTGACGAATGACGTGAAGAAACGTCAAGCCGTCTCAATCCGCGATGTCACTTGGTAAAGCTATCCACGTGCGCGCATTATCCGGTAATATCAATATCGCGTCGTCAGCATAATTCATGCAATTAACTTAAGTGCGTGGGATCGCTTAACGCGGTTCCTCCTGGCAATCTCGGCGAACGCGAGCGTGCGTATGCAAGTTGATTCCGCGTTTCTTCTTCTTCTTCTTCCTCCCTCGGGCTAGCCGCGCGGTTTTATATCTCTTCCCCATCTACGTCTGAGAAGAAATGCGTGTCAACGACGAGAGGCAACGTCACGTAGCAAAGTGATATAAGAGGAAGATATAAAAAAGAAAACATATTATTACGCGAAATTCTTGTCAATCTGCAAGAACTGAAGTTACACACTGAAAAAAATTTGATTGGATTAACCATCTAGTGAAATGTGAGCGAAGTGGAATACTGCTTGAAGAAAAGTTACCAGAATTCTATTTAAGTTAATAAGACTTCTGATCAAGACCAGAACTTTCTACTGTTCGAGCTGAACAGTTATTTGTTTAATCCAAACAGATCTTTGTGTGTAGCGCGAACTGCACGGGTAAAAATTTATTCGGAAACTTTCTCCAAGAGTGGTAGTCAGCTGACATTCATTTTCGATCAGAAACACTTAGGCACGCAAAAAAATCGGCGAATTTCCGCGAATTTTCTCCTTAGGGGCAGAATCTTGTCACTCCTCCATAAATAACGACGACCGGTGTCCGGATCCGGTTCTTCTGTTCCCTTCGTCTCCACGCGAGATGCATCCTGCGCGCTCGATCGCTCGACCTCGTCGCATAACGATATCCTACCAAATATGTAACGGAGGCGGCGGCGGCGGCGGCGGCGGTGGCGGCGCCTCTCCCTGTTTCCACGCATTGGTAACATGACGTAACGCACCAGACCCGTCGAGGAATCGCGCGACTACGCCGTGACATAATTTCGCGATTATGCGCGCGCGCGAGAGGGCGATCCGCCAGGAATTAAGCCTCGTTTGTGCGTCGCGACATACTCCACCGAGAGAAGGCAGACGTCTCACGACGATGCCCTGATTTTGCGAAATATATAGCTACATGCATCACTTATTCAAGCATCTCGCAGATGTTGTGCGTGTCTCAAAGCGTATGCCTAAGTGCTCTTTGACGAGGCGCAATTAAAGCAGTCGTATATCGTATTGGTCTGGTTAGCCCTTAATGACGATCCTTTGATGAATTTGAGTCGTTTTCACCGAAATAACGAGAGATCAGACTTGCAAATAATTTATAGGATGAATATATCACTTGGCAGTTTGGGAAAAATCTCGAAGTGAATAATACCCCAGTCTTCACATTCTTCTTTGGGATCTTCTGTTTTTGTTAAAAAAATTTGTTTTGTAATAAATCCGGGATCGAAAGTGCGATAAATCGAAATTTGGATGTTTGAATTGGATCAGAGCTTGATGTTGATTCACAGATTATTCTGGTATCGAGGTCGTAAATTCTCGCAATTGTTTTCTCCGCTAAAAAGAGAGGCGGATTTGGTCGAAACCGTCCGCTCTTATTTTCTGTATCCGTCGCGACCATCACCGAACGTTATATCGCATCACTATTGATCGTCACTGTTAATTTCCACTATTTGCGGCAACTTGATACTAATAAAGTCGGCGTGAATCTAGGCAACGCGCAGTGTAATCCGTTCAAGATTGTTCGCCGCGCAAATATACGCGCGCTCCGCGCAGGACCGGGAAGCTCTGGGCATATGGTTTCGCTTAAGGAAACCGCCTGGCATAATCGCCACGCGGTGAAGATCAGTACGGCAAGTGTAGGTACACGAAGTGTAAGTACACGGAGCCCTCTTGCTCTCCCGATGACGTACACGTGCTCGAAAGAGCTAAGTGCGGCGGAGCCAGACGTTTTCGTTGAACGGCGGACGTTTACGCGAGCCGTCGCTCCAAATATTTAGACTCGCCTGGAGGTTCGTGAACTCCGATTCCAAATTTACACCGTTACGATACGCGCTCTGCCATTACATCGAATGTTTAATTTTACATGCGCGTGGAACGTTGACTCGCGCGTTTAGCAATAAATTCGCCACCGAGAGGAGAAACGGAAAGAGCGAGAGAGAACGAATGAGAATTGTATTTTGGAGTCGACCAATTGGATCATCCTTTTCTACACAGTGCGGTTTTCCCCGTAGACGAGCTGATGTGTACACGGGAAAGAGTTTGACTGCATTAACCGGATGATAAACGTACTAAATGTGTTTTAGCGTTTTCTACAATTTTCATCCTATTTTCGGTTAAATGTTCCATTTAACGCCTATTTTCATACTTTGTAGCTCGCATCAACTTCTTCTAATATTGTTTAACTCATTAACTTTGAAGAGAGGCCCTCGTTAGAATCTACAGATGACATTTTGTGTGTTTTCTGCTATTTAGAGGCGATGAGTAGGACTTCAGTTTTCATGTGTATTAAACATATACTACTCCTACAGAAATACGCTTTTTCCGCATTCCTACAGAATGTACAGATATTGCAAAGATCTGGGGTCAAAAGTAAGACTAAAAGTTCAATTCAGGTCAATGGAATTTTTCATTTTCATCTGTAATACATTCGAGACTTATCTCTTTTAATATTCCTGAATTGTCTCTTTATGGCAGAGCAGGTGAACTTTTACGGTGTGCCGCGAAAGCAGGAAGTACGTGCGACGATAGAGCCGTTTATTCAGGACTACCCAGTACGTGCGTTTCAATACCATACTTGATTAGTTGTGGATCGCCACCATTGAGACTAACGTGACGCTCTCGCAATTGTACCTAGCGCCACGATAACGATAATGCACACTTCGAACCTTCGCCCCGCCGCAAAATGGCCTGTTCGCCTGGCCGGCTCGAGTTCA